CCGCGCGCGAGGACCCGGGCCCGCGGAGGGCCGCGAACCGGCGGAGCTGGGAGCGGGCCGCGGCTGGGGGACCCCGTCTCGGGCTGTGGCGAGGCCGCCGAAAGGAAAGGGGCTGAGTCTAGATCGTTTATCTGAGTGGTTTTCTCCCTGCCGCGAACGTGTGGGACAAGAGCGCGGAGCTGGGGGCTGGGAGGAGGCCGCCACCACTGCCTCCGGGTCGGGGGAGTGGGAAGGCCTCGAGGATGCACTCAGGTTTGACCGTGACTTTTGTGTTTTTTTTCCAGTTTTGCCAAGGAAGCTGTGAAGTGAACGATCCAAAGGGAAAGGTGGGCCCGTTTTTTAGGAGAGTCAAGTGCAAAAGCAGAAGCTTCAACTGTAACCCCCCTTCCCCAAGGCAGGGCTAATGCTCTATTTCCTTCATCCCTATGTCTGACACCAAGTGACAGATGGGAATGTAGATGAGCTGATTTCTGATATGAATACCCAGTTCTATAGTAAATAGCAAACAGAAGTGCTTAGTCTATTTCTCAATTTTAGAATATATTTCTAAATTGGAAGACTTAGAGGCCAAAAAGATTCTGACCTCCTCTTTCCCCCACCGCAAAAAATGAACTTTAAGAGGAGGGGGGGGTGGGAGTGGCTTTATAAAATCCCAGAACAAACAGTTCAGGAAGCAAAGATACATCGTCTTCATTCTACTAAAACTTGGTACAGCGAACGCTCCGAACGTCACTCTCCCAGGGGAGAAAGAAGGAAGATGGGGGAGGGCCTGAATGAGTTGATTTGAGGCCAGAAAACTCCTTATGAATAGAAATTTAGTAATCTTGAGTCATCTGGCTGTGTAAGTAATAAGAGCTTGTGAGCGTGTGACAATGCTCTTTAGTTTAAAGGAAGTTTTGGGGAGTTTGTGTTTTGTTAAAAGATTTTTATCTTAAAACAAAAACTAGCCCCCTGCCTTCCTTAGATTGTGAGGTAGAACGCTTGGATTTGTTCTGCTCTGCGCTGAGCACATGATAGGGTCTTGATAGATTGCAGCTGAGAAAAGACAGGAATTGCAGCCAAGTGGGGAGCAGAGGAGGGTGGAGAATTCGTTGAGAAAGTCGGTATGAGTTAAAATGCACAGATGTGGGGTCCATATCTAGTTATTACAGACAGCAACAAGTGTGGCCTCAGACAGGAAAGAGTTTGACTTTTACCACTTCCTCAGGTTAGTTAGGGAGAAAGTTATCAGCAGCTATGAATAAAAAGACAAAAGCAACCAATCAAAATACTGATGGGTTCTATCTACTGGTCACCATGATGAAGAAATAAGTAGTCATTAATTTAATAAACTTTGACTCTTATATGTCTGTGGCCGTCCTCTTATTCACTCTGACAATGGCTGTTTCAAATATATTTATATTTTATATATATATATAAAATCTCTGTTTTACCTCCCTAGTATTTAGTATTTCTGGCTTTTTAAAAGGTCAGCTTCTGCTTGAATAAATTATGGTATAAGCATACAAAGGTATAGTAGGTAAATATATTTAAAAATGAGATATATCAATATTTATTGATGTATAAATATGTCTAGGGTAAGTGAAAAAAACATATTTACCATTAACCCATTTGTGGGAAAATATATTTCTATATGCATAGAAAATTTCTGGGAAAAAGAACAAAAAACTATTAAAGTGTGTACTCAGAATAGAGAAAACATTTCTTTCGCACTTTATACCTTTAAGTTTTACTCAAAGAATGCACTACTTTTATCATAAAAATACTAATTTAAAATATAAAAAAAATATTTATTTCATTTAACTTACTCCACTTCATAACTTCAGCTCTCCCACCTCCAAAAAACTTCACCTAATTACAATAGTATACCTGGCAGGAGAAACAGTTGTTGGTAGTGGACCAAATAAACCTTGGCAATTATGAATAACCTATTTTCCATTATATGCTTCCTTTGTTGGTTGTATATTAAAACAGCTAATTTTGAAAGAAACTGTGATACAAAGAAGGAAATTTTTAACTGGATGGTTTAAAGATATGTACACTTATAGGATTCAACTCTTTATACAGTTATTTGTTTCATGTTTGCCTTCATCTTAGATTATAAGTTCCCTGAGGGCAAGGACCCTACAATATAAAAAGTACAATGCCTGTTTCATTGTGGACGGAAATTAAATGTTTGTCAAAAGGAGTGTAGAATGTACTGCTGCTACTGAGAAGAGATGTGTTGTCCTCAGAAACAAAGATGACTATCCAGCATCAGTGAGGCATGTGTATTTTCAGTGGAGGATGGATCTGTGCCAGTTCTCCATCTGAAATTCTGGTTCATAAGGTTATAGTTTTGGCTGGCCTGAATTAAAGGTGCAACATCTGACTACAAAGAGATAAGCTTACCCAGGGGCTGCACCCAGCATGGGTTGACCTTAATCAAATTCATTAATTAAAGCATGCATGTGTATTAATTAGACCTGAAGTGGTAGCAGCAGTGGCTGGATACCCAGGACTCATGGGTTCTAGTCCCTATTCTATCACTAAGTGTTGTGTGGCCTTAAGAGAAGTAAGTGACATACTCATTTCCTTATTCATAAAATAAGGGGCTTGAACTAGGTGACCTCTGTGTCATTCATAGCCGCAAAATTCTGATTCTAAGTTGAATGGTGAAATTTCTCCTCTCCTACCTTATATACTAAAAGGTAGATACATTTAAAAAGAGTAATTAACATACAAATAAGATAGATAAAGTGACAAAAATTATGTGAAATTTAAGACACATAATTTCTAGTCATGTTATACATAAATTATGCTTTTATTATAAATGGATCTTGTCCATATAAGAAAAACAGCAGGCTCATATGCTGGCAGTAAATTTTAAGGAGATGGATCCTAATCCAAATAAGATGAAGTATAGAGGATTTGATTAGAATCTGGAGTACCAGCAAAAGCAGAAGCAGATTTGCTGACCTGAAAACGTAGGAAAAGATATTATCAGAGAAAAGAAATCCATGAACCCAGGATGCCAAGGATGTGGAGAATAGAGTTGGAAAGTGAAGTTAAAGAGAGAAAATACATTCTCATTAATGTAAAATTTTAGAATTTAGCCACAGTGTCGATGAAGATTGAGACATATAGTCAGTGTGTAATTATTAAAGTGGTGGAAACTTACATAATTAAGTATCCTCTTAGAACTCTAAACAGCACCCTAGTTAATTATTTTTAGGATCAAACATTATCCTCCTTTTTTGAACACATCCAGGAACTGAAGTAGCACAAGGTTAAGTGACTTATACCAAGTTCCCTGTGAGTCATCAGTGAAACTGGTACTTGGAATCCAAAACTCTTGTCACCGACCTTTTAGGTTTCAACTGTTGGATAATGTCTAGTCTTAAGAGTTCCTTTTTTTGTCTTTTTTTTTTTTTTCACAAAGAGCAAATTAAAATTAAAAAGGAAAGGGAAATGAAAGGTTGCAAAAACCAGTGTATTTAAACTCAGGTGAGGGCCGGCCCCATGGCTTAGCGGTTAAGTGCACGCGCTCCGCTGCTGGCAGCCCAGGTTTGGATCCCGGGCGCGCACCGGTTCACTGCTTCTCTGGCCATGCTGAGGCCGTGTCCCACATACAGCAACTAGAAGGACGTGCAGCTATGACATACAACTATCTACTGGGGCTTTGGGGGTAAAAAAAATAAAATTAAATAAATAAATAAATAAATAAACTCAGGTGAATGGAGGCTCCCCCATCTCTCCCCTCCCTGTTCTATCAGCCGTCCATTGCCTAGTCACTCCTAATTCAAATCCTTTTCACATTTACAGAAATCACTCCCCACTGATATAAACCTCCAGGTCTTGTTCAGGAAAAAGACCTATATTTTTCTGATTGTTTTATAGGTAATTTCTTATGTTTTCAACATATATTTCAAGAGACCTAAGTAAATTGATCTACTTGCAAATGACTGTAGGAAGAACAAAGAAGTTGTGAAAACATCCAAATGATGTCCAGCATAAATGAGCTCAGAATAGTTTTGAAGAAAATAAACTACCAGGGTCAAAGTTTGCATTGAAATACTGGTAAATTCTCCTCTCCTATTAAACCATGCTTAAATATTATAATAGCATCTCATTCCTGTTTTTCGTTTTTATATAATTTGTACAATAGAAGTTTATATAAGAAAATATCTACTACCATTTCTAACTAAGATACAATTCACTTAATTATACCCTTTGGTGTTAATTGTGTGTGTGGTACAGATGTGTCATTAAGAAAGGGTCCTCATTAATGATTGTCATCAATTTCAATGCATTGTATTAAACTTCAAGGGCCAATCTTATAATTGAACTCCGAGTGTGGTTGTGAAGGTGGTCAGAAGCTAATACTTTAGTGAACTAAAACCTTATGCCTTCTGGTCAGTCCATACAAGTCCTGTTAGGAGCAATTAACTTCAGGAATGCAGCTCGTCTATCAAAAACATCCTAGTCTTTCTTCCCAAGGCTCTTGACAGTTCATCTGCATTCATAT